CCTCCAGGACTGGGAGAGCCTGCTGGAGAGTGACCACCACAGCTACTCGTATCCATGGCAACAGGCCCTGTCCCTCCCTCACCTGGAGCCTGCCACCAGCGGCTGGACCCCGTCCTGTCCGTGTGCCATCAACAGCTCCGCCCTGCTCTACCCGTTCTGCCCGGCCGTGCTCATGGCTCTGCACCTGGTCTACGAGGTCGGGAGTTTGTTGTTGAGCTTTATATAGAAACTAGCTGGGCCCCCTTTCGATGAAAGGAATGATCGGTGCATTAACATCAACTGAAAGTCATTGGCCTACTATATTACACTCTACTGGAATGGAGAAATAAATCTTGAGAGATGCAAAAAATTAGGTCTCTAGATCTAGATCTATACTCTCAATACAAAATGAGCCTCGCAAAATATCACTTCCGCACCGGGTTTTCTAAAATTGCATAGACAGAAGCGTCGGCCTACAAAAGCGATCGGCGAAATAAAGAAATCTAGCTTTTGGCAGCAAAACAGTCTCAAAACTGAAAAAACGAAGGGCGTCATGATCTGGAGTGTGTTTTAAAGAATCTTTTGGCGAAAACCGCATGTCTTTAAAAAGCCTTTTGAATAGCAAAATTTGGCCACCACAAATAGATAATAGACGAAACCAATTTTTTCTCTTTTTTGTTCTTTTTTTTTTTTTTTTCGGTGTCCTCATTTGGGTGCCAACATTTGTAGGTTACGTAAAAATTTATTGACATGGTGCAAATTGTTATGTTTTAAGAGAAAACAGACACAAGAAAAACTCAATAAGAAAAAGGGAAATTGTTTAGTCAGCGATGATGGATATGATGATGATGATGATAATGATGATAATGATGATGGTTAATGATGATGATGCTCTAATGTTGGGAATAATGTGCATGTTAATCTTAGTGTTAAGTGTATTTCATTTATTTATTTATTTTATTATTTTTTTTTTTTCTCGCTTACTCTGGATCCCCACCAGGCTGTCCTGGGGGGCAGGTCACAACCCTCATTCCCAACTCCTCGCATAGAGTGAGCAGAGAAATGAAACTAATTAGTTTAACTTTTCTTTCAACAGCAAGTGTGATCAGAAGGCACAGCGGTTGTTTTTTTGCTTGTTTATTTTTATTTTGTCAGATTACGGTGTATGTCGACTGCTCAGTATAGCGTCGACTCTGAACTATTTTTCCAATATACATAAGTAAAGAGTGCACTTTGGACAACATAGTTCTGAGCCAACGATAGGACTCCGTCATGTGTTACTTTTCCAAATGGCGTATGGCGAAGTCTTACACTAAGCAGCGGGTATTTATCTCTTAAAGGATTGGTGTACATTGAATGGGCAGTTGTGCATGAAACATGTTTCTATTGTGTTAGCTGTCAAATTTGAAATTTTATTTTATTGTGAAGCAATAGGTTCACAAGCAAGTGAACGCCAAAGAAGTGAACTTTATTATTACTCTGCCGTGTCAAGGTACAGCGACGTATCCGCACTTTTTATGATTTTGAGTTATGTCGCGCTGCCGTTGGAGAAAATGGGCCTTCAGTTATATCTGTTTGCCATAGTGAAATATCCTATTTGTAGTGCAGATACATCTTCCTGCCTTTGACTCTAGATGCAGAATGGGTATAAGCGTCCATTTAAATGAAGATGCATTTTGCAGATACGTCGGTCTGCCTTGGCACGGCAGTACTATTATTTATTATTGTTATTATCATTATTATTATTATTAGCAAAGAAAAGATTACTTTAATGAATCTTTTTTTTTAGAAATCTAGTCTACCGAATTGTGTGATATGGTGAGTTATTTGATCCTCAGCGGGATACTCCTTGTAGGGGGTGAGACACTCTTGGTGAATATGTTAGAACACTCTCACTCACACTCACGCTCACACTCTCTCACACACACATACACACACGCACACACACAATGCATACACATGTGCAATAGCACATATGCACACTCATGTACGCACAAATACATAAACATATTAATACACTCATACATATGAGCACACTTACTCACCCCCGCCCCAACTACATTGCTCAAAGTTGTCTGGAGGACCTTGATTCTTTCATTATTGTCACAGTTTTCTTTAGGAAAATGCTGCATTAATTTTAAAGAAGAATTTCTGTTCTTTTCTTTTGGCACTACAGGAGATGAAGCTGAGTATTTTGCTACAAGAAGAGTTGTCTGGATTTGCTCCTCTTGTTCATCAGATTGCTTGGTAAGTCTAATGGATATTGTGGCTTGCAGGAACACTATTACTTGGCACTGAGTCATAGAATTGTTGGGTCAATATCAAAGATGACAACAGCAACAATCATATGGCTTCAGCAATGATAATGATAATGATAGGTGATCCTTCAGTGTTTGATGGTGCCATTACATCTGCGGAGGAGAATATTTCTTAAGCGAAATAGAAGAAATGGGGGTTATGATGACTTGAGGCTTCTGCTATGGACAATGAGACCGATTTTGGCAGAGAAGAGTTTACCACATTTTGAGCATTTTAAAGCTTCATTTCCACTGGTGGATGTGCACAGCTTGGGGGCTTATCTCTTGGCATTAGCATTTTCAATTTGTGAAGTCTTGCTGACAGCAACTGAAACACACTTAACCCTGCTTTTGATATTATAAAAAATTCACGATATGGCTCTGCAGGAGATACTTTTAGTTCATAAAAAGGCAAAGTGGTTGTTCATTCTATTTTTCTTTATCTTAGTGAGCTAAAGAGTCAGAAATTATTGTTGTCAAGAAATTATCAAATAAGACATTATTTCCACTGTATTTAACTTTCCTTCTTTTAGTCAAATGATGCCTGTAAAGATTGATTGATGTTGTGTAATAAATTTTAATTTTTCTAAGATATTTGTTTGTTGTCTTTGCCAGTGATCTGCGATGTTGGACTTACACTGATTACTACCGTCGAGATTTTCCGGAACTCTTCGAGAAAGTGGATGACATTAGCCAAATCACTGATGGTAAGTGTTTAGTTAGTCCTAAAAAGTTTGCCCTTTAATTTAAAGTGACACTTCCTTTCACAGTCATAAATGTGATCTGCTACAATCAGATTTTCACATCTTTATGAGGTGACTTTTTATTTAATTTAATTCTGTAACTGGTTGAAGCTTTTCAGGTAAAGAACTGTTTTTGCTGATAGGCGTGGGTCTTTTATAGACATTTGAGCAGTTGTGGAAATCTTGCATCATGTCTCAAAATTTATTTCATATCTGTCAGTTGCCCTCCATTGTGGATGGGATAAATATTAACCTTCTCAATGTTCTAAACTACATTTAAACGGAGCCCCTTGATTTAGTTAATTATTCATGATTATTTTTGAATAATTCTATGACCCCTGATTGTTGCTTGAATTACCATCTTCATTATTGATGTAAAGCGCTGAGAGTTCAGATTGGAAGTGGGCGCTTTAGAAATTTATTTATTTTCATTATTATTTTTAATGTTTTGTTTGGCAGCCGACCTGCAGAAGATGCAGTACCCTCACCTGTACCCACAGCAAGTTCCGACAGTTCAGGGGTGGCTCACCGAGTCTCTGAATCAGAGTCACAGTCAGCAAGGGCCAATGATTTACATCCCTGGTGTCTGTGAGAGTGTTAGAAAAATTATTTCGGTGAGTGAAGAGGGAAAACACTGCCTTGAATTGTTTGAGAAACTAAAACTTGTTTTCAGTGTAAACAACAGAGGTGCTAAATTTACAGATAAGTCCATAAATACAGCGTCTTGAAATTGCCTGCATTGTGTCAAACTTCAGGTTGATTTTAAAGAAGTTGTTTCACTTTATATAAAAACAGTCTTGATACGAAACATATTAGTCAAAATGATTCGTACATTTTGAGGCCCCCATGTGCCTTCCCTCAGGGTCTGAGGGTCTCAAAAGTTCAGAATTTTTTCCCATTGCTAGTTGGCACCTCTCTTGAGACGGTATGTATGAAGTATGTTGTGCTTTATTTTAAATTTCACGTGTGCCTTTTTTGAAAGAAATTATCTCCAAGATTCTGTTAAAATGTCTTGTTTTTTTTTCTTTCAATTCTTAGGTGTACTCAATACTGCTCAACCCAGAAATGCCGGCAGAACTTTGTGTGGACAAATGTCTGAAGAAGATTGCCCCAGCTGGTGAGGTCCCTTTTCATAAAGCTTTTCTTTTTTGCCACCATGAAACGCCTTGTATGCCACAAAACAGGGGATTTGAAAGTTTGAGTGCTTGGGGGATCAATAGGTACAAAGGTTCACAGTTCACAGTGGGTTGTTGGGGGATGCTCTGGTGTGGTTTGCTTCTTCTTTCATTTCAAACATCTATCGTCTTTATCTCCCCTCCTTCTTTTTTCTGTTTGTTACTTTCTTGTAGCACCTCTAATCTTCGTCACTTTTCTCTCTCTCTCTCGCCCTTTTTAACTCACAGTGGAGCACAGGCCATCAACAGCTTTACTCCAGCGAAGCCTGTCCTGAGCATCCTTTTCTATCTGTTTCCATGATGTCCCCGCTTTTTCAATTTCCGCTTGTACCGCTCGTCTCCATGTCATCTTTAGTCTTCCCTTCTTCTGGTCTACGGGAGGTTTCTCGGCTTGGTGGCTTCCTTTCGGCTTTCAACACCCTGCGTTATTCTACTCTCCATATTCTCTCCTCTCTTCGGTGATGAAGGTCTTCCATCTTCCAGAACTGGCGGTCGTGTTGTTTTTGCTGTTGATGTTTTTGTAGCTGCTTTTTGTTTTACGGGAAAGGGTTGCTAACCCTTTGCCCAATCGACCTTAGTCGCCTTCTACGATATGCGCAGTATGGATACAGTGGTCCTATTCTTTGCTCCTCTGTCTCTTGGACAGGCCCCGAGAACCACACATGTGAATCTTCGGCACTTACATGACCTAATTGTGTTGCAAGTGCCGTAAAACTCTTACAAAAAAACCTCCCACGGTTCACAGGATCTTTTTCAGAAAGGAAGTGAAAAGCTAGGAGCTCCATAGGATTTAGTCCTCAAAATACTTTAGCATGTTAGTCAAGTTCATAACCTACTGTACTACATCTGGGGCCTTTCTCAAAGAAATAATTTTCTCAGCTCAATTCGCTTGTGTTTGTGGCAAGATGTTTTTTTACTAATGGTATTAAGTTTTGTGCACCTGCCAAGGTTAACTTGTGGTGGTTCTTCCACATCGACAGCCTGTTCTCTTTTCACAGAGAAAGTCCAGAAAAGAAACAACTTAAGAGCCAATATAATTACTTTTTCTACATGCTACACTCATATGTATGGTTGCATGCTTGTTTGTCATTTGATGAGTGTGTGTGTGAATGTGTGCATAATGCAATTTCTGGTATAAATATGCAAATTTCAAGTTTGTCTTTACATAACTCTGCGTTTGTGATAAGGCATCGGGGCAGTGTCTTTTGAATATTGAGTGTATGAATGTGTGTCTATCTCTATTTCTGGTATGAATGTACAAATTTCAAATGTATCTTATTTTATCACAATTATGTGTTTTAATGTCGACAGGGCACCGGGCCCCCACAGCGGACACTTCGCTGTCATACTCCATGTCCAAGAGCCTGCGAATGTCGCCGGGCTACTCCCAGGCAGAGCGACTTGTGCTGACCATGACAGAGCTGGGTGAGTCGGACTGTCCTAGTAGAGTGTTTGAGTGGGTGGTTGGTGGGCGCTCTGGTGTGGTTGGCTCCTTTTTTCCTAACGATCATCTATTGTCCACTTCTCTCTTTCTTCTTTTCTTTGTATTTTATTTTTTAGTAACACCTCTTAATTATCAGCACGCACATGGCCTATTTGTGTAGCAAGTACCGTAAAACTAAAGCCAGGAGTGTTTGTGGTCAGGACTAAACGTTGGTTTTAGTGTAAGGATAGGAAACTCGGAAGGACAGAGAATTCTGGAAGTTTGGACAATGTGTGACTGAGTGTTGTTTACTTTCAGTCTGTTTTCTTCTCAACCCTTCTGATAATGAACTCATTTCACAATATGACCCATGCGCCCCCCCCCAAACCCCCCGGGGCAGTGCCACTGACTGTAGTGTCTTTAGACCATTCCCAAAGGGGGGACATTTCTCGTTCAAGCACAGTAGAATTGTAAATGGGCTGATTCATCATGTCAAGCTCATATTTGTGCCTGATCTACAACAAGGAGCTGCTGCTTTTTCTTTCCTAATCCTTACTATTGTCATTTCCTCTACTTTTTTTGTATGTTTGTCACTCTTTTGTGACCTGCCATTTCCGGGGTGCCTTGATAGTCGAAGCAGACCTTGTGGTGTTGAAGCTAGAGAGGTGAGCAGAGCAAATCTGATTCCCTGTAAAGATTTCTCTGTTGACACCCACCCCTTGGCGCTCATATGACCTTATGCAGTTTCGAGCGCCGTAAAACCTTCTACTTAAAAAACCCACTAAAACAAGCACGAAGACCCCAGCTTGCTTCTCCTGACCTTATTTCAGGTCGTCCCCTCTTCTTGCTTGACCAGTATAAGCAGCTCCTTCTACTTCTTTTCACTCTTCATCTTGGTCCTTGCAAAATTAGGCAGTTTTTGTACTAACTCACTACATCTTAGTTAAAATGATAATAAGAATTGCATTAATAAAAGGTACATCCTTGCTCTACATCATGTGCTATGTGCTTTACAAGTATTATTTTAGTTTAGACCCACCTTCTTCCACTCTCTTCACCTGCTTCCATTTCATTATCCAGACCTGTCTTTCCTCTCCCATTCTTTATCATAGTATTTCGTCTCTTTGATTCGGCTCATTACAGCTCATATTAGAACCTTATCTGTAGCAACAATTCCTTTTTACAAATCAAAGCTGGATGGTTAGTGGTGCTCTGGTGTGGTTTGCTCCTTCTTTCCTATCAAACACTTATTGTCCATGTCTCTCCTCCTCTTTTCTTTGTAACCCCTTATGGCCTAATTGTGTTGCAAATGGAGTAAACCTCTAACTAAACAGGTCAAAACTATTATTTTTTCTTGAAGCAATTTTGGAACGTTTTATTGTTTCCTTAGTTCTAATGTTTGGTCATTTTTCCATCACTAGATATGACCCAAAGAGATCTGGATTGTGTGCCCATCGGTGTCAGTTTGCCCCTGAGGGAGGCGTGTCTTTTGTGTCGGGCCAATCCCCCGTCAGACTGGCCACAGAGTGCCTACGATCTCATAGGTAAGTCCTGCACTCACTTGTTCATTTCTTCTATGGTGTGGGTGAATTTAGTTGTATGAGTAAAGTAAAGGAAGGTATGACTTACTCTTTTAGCTTTCTCTCTGACTTACTAGCCTTCAACCAAGCAACTGAGTCGGACCTGTATCACTTTTTCTTTGGTTAAGGAAAAGAAGTTGGACAGAGATGGCTGGACTGATAAAGATTTTGATTATATTATCCACCATAATGGACATAGAGCTTTCAGCTAACTCACATACTGGATCTGTAGATGTGTTTATTTGTTTGCGTGTGTCAAGGTCGGCAAGATTTGTCCGAGTTAGCTGCTCTCGACGGGAAGGTCAAGAGTTTCCACCTGCCTGAGCCTGTGCCTGTGGAGCCGGAAGAGGAAGTGGAGAAAGAGGAGGATGATGGGATGGACTGTCTGGATGAAGAGGTGAGCTGTGGTTGTGTCGGGTGACTGCGAATCCTTTTGAGCATATTAGATTTTATGTGTGATTTATTGTTATATCCTTGAGACTGCTCGGCTGCCGCTTTCTGTTGAGGAAAGATATTTAATTGTGCCACTGCGAGTACTGTTGTCTGTCAATTTGGTGTTTTAGATAAGTTTATGAATCAGTGTGGTACAGTGGAATCTTCTGTCAGTTAGTTTGTTTCTTTTGGAGTGTATCTTTCCTGTTGTATTGTTGCATGGATTTGGCAATTGGGAATTTGAGAAGACACTACATTCACTACTCCGAAACCAGTCCCACTTGATGTAAGTTTGTTTGTAGGTACACAATCTGATGTCAAAATGATGGATGTCTCTGATTGGGTTTTGAATAAGTTGCTAAGCCTGAATGTGCATTGTTGTTACCAGGTCCTGAAACTGCGGTTCCCCAAAGATCTTCGGTTGCAGGAGGTTCGTCGTCTGCTGCAGTCGGCTCGGCCAGTGGTCATCTCGGTCAAGCAGCGGCCTGAGGTCAGCGACCACGACTTCATCGAGGAGCCGGAGAGAGTGCTGCTCAACACTTGTGTGCGCACCATGTCGCTGCCTGTGGGGAGGTGAGGGCACAGTTTGAGACTCTTTCGGTGTAAATTTATTTCAGTCACTTTGATTAATCTGTTTGCTTGAAGACAAAACGTGATGTCATGCAAATCAGTTACAAGTTGTTGTCATGTATATATATTATATGGAGCGTCGTTGTTATGTAATGTGCCCCTAGCAAATGGATAGCCCCAGTGGAAAATTGAGAAGCTGGTTTGGTAGTTGTTGTTGTTATCGATCCAGCAACAGCTGGGCTTTCGCCCTTCTGTCCAGTTTGGCAGTCACACTTGACTCTTTCTTCAGCACTGTCCTTCTGTTATTACTCTAAATATCCCACTCTTTTTCCCTGCACTGAATCACAGTTTATGCTACAATGTGCTTGTCTCTTACACACCGAATAGTAAGTATTAACATTACTGTTATTGTGAATGTGTTATGTTTGTCTACAGGGGAATGTTTACTCTCCACACATGTCAACCTCTGCTGACTGAGACTCTGCCTATTCCCAAGCTGTGCCTCACAGGAAGAGCTCCCCCCAGGTGAGGTATTTTGGTCACCCTCTGTGAGATGTTGTTGTTGTTATCGATCCTGCCCTATGTGAGACGAACGTGGCAGAAAATGCTACAAGCTAATTTATACCTTTTAGCACAATAGGGTTATTTAAGACCCAGGCTCTCCGAATTTAGTGATTTTGTTGGTAAGGCTGAGCCTAGTGGATGGACAGCCCCAAAACACATAAAGTGACCTAAGTTCAAGAATGCCTTGTTGTGGATCCCAACTAGACTCGTCCACATCACACCTCAGGGATCATACCAGTTGAGCAAACAGTTCACTCCACCTCTTTGTCTTAACACTTTGCCGCCTCATCTCGCCGATTTGCGATGTTTACCACCCTGTTTCTTTGGATTTTCCCCAAAATATGATGGCAAAGTGTTAAATTATGTAGGAACGTCTGAAAATCTCTCCTTCAATCAAATGCTGCTCCGCACCTTACTGTTTCATAAAGATCTGCTCTCCTATGAGGAATGGCCACCAGCTGTAGCGAGTGGAATGTCCTTTGTTTGTGATATTCTATTTATTTATTAATTTATGTATTGATGTATTTGTATATATGAATGCCATTGTAAAATAAATTTCCCAAAGGGATGATTAAAGTGGAATTTATTTATTTATTTATTTGTTTGTTTGTTTGTTCATGTATTCATTCATCATTCGTTTATTTATTCATTTCCTTCTTATGTGTGACACAGGAACACAACAGTAGACCTGACCCACATAGATGTGCCCGCTAACATGTCTGTGTGGCCACAGTTTCACAACGGCGTTGCGGCCGGTCTACGCATCGCTGACACCACTCAGGTACTGAGCTTGTGATGTGTTCCTATGGCACAACAATGTTATTAACTTTTTAAATCTATAAAAAAAGATACATGGGAGTGGAAATCATATGTTTGTGGAAACCTAGCTGCTAAGCTTTGGGAGTCGCGGTGACCTAGTGTGCAACGTCTACGGTTGCCGAAAGGGTCATAGTGGGGTTGTGGTTACATTTATGACTTAGAGGAACGGGAAACAGAGTCTACGATCATCATGATGCGCGAAGATGTGGGGAGTTGAAACATATTTGTTCTTTTTCTGACCCTACTACTGTCGAAATTATCCAAGAAGGCCACCCATTGTTAAGGAGAAAAGTGATTTTCTTAGACAGTAAGACGTCTTGTCTGTGTCATTATAACTTTTTTTTAAATGCAAGGGGGCGAAGTGGTAGGTGGTGCTTTGTACAGGCGAAGGTCTTGGACAGGTGGAGCTTGGAGCATGTAAGACTATAGTTTTTCAGTTTTAATGTGTTTATTTTAAAGTGTTTACAATGTAGCCTCTTTGCTTGTAAGATTATGTTCATGGAGACGAACTCCCGGCACTAACAATATTATCTTTCACCTCGGCAGGTGGACTCTGCCTGGATCATTTACAACAAGCCAAAGGAGCTGACCAATGAGTTTGCGGGGTTCCTCATGGCCCTGGGTTTGAACGGACACCTGCCCAATCTGAGCACTTTCAACACCCACGAGTACATTAGTGAGGTATGTATACTTTTATGTTTGTGTGTGTGTGCGTGTGCATGGTTGTGTGTTTCAGTGTGTGTGCTTGCATATCTGCGCATGCTCAACGTATACCTTTTTTGAAAAGTGAAGTATGACAGAGTCTTACACTGAGCAGTCAATATGCACATACATCCATCAATATAATTGCATAGCTGCATTAATATATCAAGTGTTACCTCAGGATTGTCTGTGATATAAAATGAAATCAGTAATAAGTGATTCACTAAAGTTCAAATCAAACCATCTTTGTAAACTCAAGAAGTATGTTAAAAGACTTATATTTTATGGTTTAGTATTTGACTTTTGCAGCTTATATTATTTTGTTCTCTATTTAAAACCATGTTTCATTATTTATTTAACTTCTTCCCAGGGCAATGAGCTTATCACCATCGCCATCTTATTGGGAATGTCAGCTGCCAAGTAAGTGATTTGTGTTTGATGTGATTTGAGAATTGTTCTTTTACACTTATTTTATTGTCTAGAAAAATAGAGGGCAAAAGGGGCTGATGTAGACTAAGTATAAAGTATGTAGAGAAATTGAAATGGTGGGAGTCGGGTAATAATAAAGATATGTAAAGCCCACAGAGCTTGCCGTTGAGCGGGGATATTTGCTAAACAAATGCTATTCATTACTATTTATTATTACATATAAACCTTGATGCTTGTGTACTTTTTGTGAATTTTTGTACATGTATGTCCCAACTAACCCACCTAGAGGAGGTTGTAAGTGTGAAATGAAATGAATATAAGTGAGACTGCAGCCGTAAATGTGGATTTCAAAATCAAAGTCTTGCATGCACATCCTGAAGTCGGCGGGACGTGGAAATCTTTTCATTATGCTGGAATCTCACTATGTACATATTATTTCAAATGTGGGCCAATGTTCTTGAACACTGTATAAACTTACTTACAAAAGCAAAGAATATAATGTAAAAGAAAAAGATTGGAACCTGAAAATTTGTTCACTGCCTGTGTGTTTCACTATCCGCATGTTAGCTAGTCTGTATTATTACCCTGTTTGTGTTAAGCGTGGCCAGTTCATTTTCACTATCAGCTTTAATCTGTCTGTCTGTCTGTCTGTCTGTCTGTCTGTCTGTCTGTCTGTCTGTCTGTCTGTCTGTCTGTCTGTCTGTCTGTCTACTCTGTCCATTCGTCCTTCCGTCCTTCCGTCCATCCATCCATCCATCCATCCATCCATCCATCCATCCATCCATCCATCCATCCATCCATCCATCCATCCATCCGTCCATCTATCTATTATCCTCTCACAGACGTGGCAGTATGGATCTGACCGTGACAAAGGCCCTCAGCTGCCACGTGTCGGCTCTGCTGCCCCCCACCTCCACGGAGCTGAACATCGCACACAACATCCGCGTGGCTGCCATCATGGGCGTCGGCCTGCTCTATCAGGGCACAGGGCACCTGCCCATGGCCGAGGTCATGCTGTCTGAGATAGGTAGGTGCTAAGGTTGATTGTGAGGCATCGTAGTGAAACCAGGCGCTCGTCAAAATAACGAAATTAGAGAAATTGGCATTTTTCTGACCGTTGGGCAATTTTTTTTCTAATTTTCCTTTTTTGGCTCAGCACCTTTTATATCCTTTTACTGGATTTTACTGAAGAACGTTAATAAAAAGCTAAAAAAATGTCAATTTTCTTTTCCCAAGGACTCTCAGCCTACTAAAGTTACCAAACTTTGGCGGCCATTTTCTCTCTAATTTTATCTCTGAAACCAGGCAACCCTTTGCCTTCAATTGTAAATATTTCGACTTCTATTCAACATAGATCAAATATTTTTTTGACCAAAAGGAAGGCAAGTGAAAAGGCTTTAAGCTGATACAAATAACCCCATTCAACGAAAAATTGACAAGCGCCTGATTCCATCACGTCGTGACACAATTAGCTGCATTGTTTTAAATTATTTCTGTAGATTTTGTCGGCAAGCTGATCATTCATAATCTGTGCTACTGGTTGCATGTGCTCAAAAACATTTTGTTCAAAATTTAAATTCTAAAGGCATGAAAAGATCTAGAAAGTGGGTCAAATTGTTAAAGGAATGAAACAGTTTTTTTTCTCTCTCCTGAAAATTGTGGCTTTCTGGGCTTAGAATATGTCAACAGCTTGCCACCGATTTAAGTCTCTGTTTTTTGTGGGTTTTTTCGTCTGGGAGTTCATTTCTATTCTCTTAAAATAATCAAGTAAAATTTCTGTATATGCAATAATGAATAAATATATGGATAGATAATAGAAAGTCAGATAGATAGATCAACACTGATAGAGGAATCCTGAAATATTCCCGTGATTCATTTTTGAATGTTTCATTCTGTCTGTAGGTCGACCGCCGGGCCCAGAGATGGAGAACTGCCAGGACCGTGACTCGTACGCTTTGTCTGCCGGCCTGGCCCTGGGGCTCATTATGTTTGGGGTTAGTAGTGTGTAGTGTTCGTCCTCCCTTAAGGGCTGGTGGGGCACCTAGAAATCGTGCTTTGGGGTCAAATTATGGAAATTGGGGTTATTACATATTATAGTACCAGGACATTTCCGGAACAATATCGAGAAACGTATGTAAGCCTTGCTACACCCTAAAGCTGTGGTTTTTTTCCCTTGTTTTTCTGCGAAAGCAGATGTTTTCCAGCCTTTTCTTACCTTTATCGGCCATTTTCTCACAATTCAATTTTTTCATACATTATCCCATTTTCCTGCTCTATTTCTTTTTTAATTTCAATGTAACTTTCACAGGATACCATCAGCACGTAGTTCTAAACTTTGGCTGGTTGAATTTTTGATTAACGCAGCAGTTTTTGATTTATGGGCATAGAAAACATGAATTTTCCATTTTTTTTCTCACTTTTTTCGAAACAGTCCAATTTGAAACTGTCATAAACTAAAAACTAAAGCATTTATCAAAAATTCAACAAGCCAAATTTAAGGGCTACATGCCTTAAAGGTTTAAGTACAGGTAAAATTGTCCAAGACGGCCACCCACTGCTTGTAATTCTGCTGATCCTCGGCACTTCATGTGACCTATTTGTGTTGCAAGTGTTATAAAAAATCGTACTAAAATGAAAACTAAATGTCACTGTATTGATTAAATGATTAATTTTAACTTTATATTCATCAGTCATCTTTATGTATATTTAACTAGCAGTCTTTTATTGCCACCGTAAATGACAGTGAGGATATGTCCCATGTAGATCTTGAAGTTTTTTTTCTTTTTAAATATCTGATTGTTGACCCGAGCTCAGGCGTGAAAGCAACCAACTTGTGTTTCGCACGCTTATATAACCTTATGCAGTTGAGAGCGCCATAAAACTCTTACCAAAAAAAAATAAAAAAATATTGTACTATCTTATCATGAAAAATTAATTTTCTTTCGTCCTGTGTGTCTGCAGAAAGGTAACCAGATGACCGGTCTGTCTGACCTGAGCATGGCTGACATCTTGTACCACCTAATGGTGGGCGGTCACACAAAACAAATGGTATGTGTAAAGTGAATGAGGAAATAGTTTTGAGCTAATTGTTTTGTTCCTGTGTGTGCACGCGTCTGTGTTTGTCTCAGAGTGCATATCAACTGCTTAGTAATAGACTCCACCATAAGCCATTTTGAAAAGGGATGTATGACACAGAGTTTTACACTGAGCAGTCAGTTTGTGTATGTGGATACTTTTTATGTATGTGGACATCAAATTCATCTCAAATCAGAATATTCATTTTCTAAGTATTTGTGTAGTTATAAATTTATGCAGATAAATGGTTAAGTGCTTGGGTGTGGACCTGTAATTCATCTCAAATCAGAATATTCATTTTCTAAGTATTTGTGTATTTATAAATTTATGCAGATAAATGGTTAAGTGCTTGGGTGTGGACCTGTAATTCATCTCAAATCAGAATATTCATTTTCTAAGTATTTGTGTATTTATAAATGTATGCAGATAAATGAACACCCTTGGTTAAGTGCTTGTGTGTGGTCTGCTTCTGCTACTTCCTTCCAATGTTTCTGTCGCTCAAATTTATAATTGATGAAACTTGCAAGTGTACTCCTGTTCTTATCCTCTGTTGTTTGTTTCTGTTTCTGTCTGCTGTCTTGCACTGTATGGCTGTTATTGTGTCGATGTGCTTCTTGTACTCAAACCACATGGAAATGTGCGAGTTACCGTGCTGATTGGTTGGAAACTATAAATCTCAACAAGAACACTTTTACTTTTCTTCCTTAAGCACTGACTGACCAAGCTCTGACTGACTTTTGTTTGTTCAATGTGCTTTTCATTTGCCCGCACAACAGGATTATGTTCTGTATTGTCATGTTTGACCCATTTTTCTTTCATCCTTCAAGCTTTGGCCCCTCCGTGAAAGAATCTACAAAGCTCCCAGTTTTCTCATCAAGGTAAGCAACAAGTGTAGATTTTGAATTTCTCTGTGGAATGTCACAGAGATAGACATCAGGGAAAATTTGTGAATTTATTATGTGTTTTTTACTTTACTTTTTGTTATCTTTTTGGAATTGTATGTATAAAAGTTTGAAGGAGGGATAGGTTGTTTGAATGGACAGATCTGACCCCTGGTTAAATCCTCGAAGAGTTTCAGGGCTGTAAAAAATCAGGAGAAGCAGAAGAAAATGGTAGAAATATTTCCCTGATAGAGTGTTTTGTTATCAGATGGGAAATTACCGCAGCTTGCTAACTCTCAGTTTGTTCTTTTTGACGACCAAACATTTTATAGGTCTGAGATGTTGAAGGGTACTTCGGAATATGGTCTCAACAACCAAATTTTTTGTTGATGTGCTTTTCAGGAAGGTGACAGTGTGAATGTGGATGTGACATCACCGGGCGCTACGCTGGCCCTTGGCATGATCTTCTTTGACACAGAGAACAGGTAAGTACTCTCATTTAAGTTATGGTTTTTGCCTTGTTAATTGGACTTTGGGGTTGGATGTGCCGTGATAAAATCAGGAATGACTGGTTTTTGTCCAGCGTGGGGCAGTTCACCTCTAGTCCTGAGGACCAAGTGCACTTTCCTAACAGATGTCTCTATATAAAATTCCTGTCCTGATCTTAGCTTTGGATTCTTCTACAATGGGTAGTTTGTTGCTTTCTCTTTGAATTGTGTTACGTTTGAATATTTAAAAAATACATTGTGTGGGTATTGTTTAAAAAATTTAAGAAAATGTCCATTTATTGTTTCTGTCTGTTTGTCTCACTTTTCCCCCAACATTTATTGACTGTCATGATGTCAACATGCTTCTATTTAACTCCTGTCAGTATATGCACCTTAAGAATTATGTGAATAAATTTGTGGTTTTCTTTAACTTTAACTAATGACAAATGTTTTCCCTTTGATAGCGCTGTGTCAGAGTGGCTCAAGGCACCGGACACTCAGTTCATGCTGGACCAAGTGCGCCCTGACTTCCTGTGTCTGCGGGTGAGTACTGAGCTTGTGTAAATAGATAAAGAAAATCTGAGGCAATATCTATTCTTTCTCAAGCGACATTGCCCTTCATTATGTGGTCTTGTAGATGTTGTACCATTGTAATGTACCCTTGCTCAAAGACTTGTTATAGAACGATTATTTATAATTTTTAGCCTGCAAAGTAATACAGTTGAAACTGTCCGAGACGGCTAAGCATAATCAAAGAGACAAGTGTTTCTTAGACAGATGGACGTCATGGACAGTGTTGTTATAATGTTAAAAAAAACG